TGAGCTGAAGGCAATAAACCAGAATGAGTCTCTTGAAAGGATATGACCTGAAATGGAAATAGAAATTATTTGATATTTATATTCCAGCTTGACATTTTTACTTCCCGTTATGGCAAAGCTTGACTTGTTGCAAATCCCAAAGAATTTGTGACTAAACAGAAAGTTACCGATTAAATCCCTGCCTCTCACGAGTGATCCCTGCACTAAAATGTCAGAGCTGTAAAACTGTTGATTTGTGCATTTCTGTTGTGACATGATGAGTCATTTAGATCCAATTCTGCTGGGATTTTTAGTTGGTTTAGAATGAAGCTGTTAGAGTACAGACTGTGAAAAAGCATGAAGCATAATGAGCCTCCTGGGGGTTGGTTTATGTACACAGATCAGCTCATACTTTATGCTTCTGAAAAGCTCAGTCCAAGTGGGCCTGAAGAATTGGAAAGGGAGGAAAATGAATTCTATGCTGCTACAATATCACACTGAGATCATTTAATGAGAGCTTTAATTTTTAAACAATTTAATTTTAAAAACCAGTATTTAGTCATTTCTGTTGAGCAAAGAGTCACTTTATGCTTGGTGGAAAAACGATTTGTTCCAAACTGTATATCTATTCTGCATCTAGCTACACTTCTCCAATTGTTCAGTACTTACAAGTGCAAACAATACAAGTATTTCCTACATAAATTAAAATAAATTACTTTTTTTTTACCGCAAACTAGACAGATATACTAAATCATTTGCATCTGATATGATCAGAGTGTATGTTTTAGATTGTTTTACATATTTTGTCCCACCTCATTTATAATTAAAACAGTAAAATTGAAGAAAATATGACTGTCAGTCAGGATTTCTCTCTAAAAATGAAACTAAATGCTTCTCTTGTACTTTTTTAAACTGGATTTCCAGCTTCCTTCTTTATGGTAGTAAAAATTGTCAGAAGGTAAGGGGGTAAACAGATTGTTTGAACTTGGGACTTATCCGATTCTCATTTCACCTCCAGCTAGAGGCTTTGGGAAAATCAGGCTTTTTTTCATCAAATAAAATAGTCATGAGAGGCAGGTCTTGTCCTGCAGAGGTATAGCCAGGCTGAGGTGTGAAATCTGCCGAGCAATTGCTTATGAATTTCCCCCCTGAGCTCTGGTGTATGTCAGTGAGACGTGTCAGCTCAGCCTCTGACAATCACTCGTCACAGCAATGCTGGGGGAAGCATTGGGTATTTTTATCTCCATTTATAGTTTTCTGAGAAAAAGGGAAAGGAAGCAACAAAGAAAAACAAGGTTTTCATAGTTCAAACTCTGAGCTTATGGGGATACTGCTGCCTAGGAAACCAAAGGGAAGCCAGTAATCAATATTTGCAATAACACAGAGACAGGTAAGGAAATGCAAAGTACTTTTTTTAAAGTAGAGAGAAGTGAAAAGGTTTAACAAACTATTCAGATACACATGCTGAGGATACAAACAGAGAATATGTTCTGTAAATGGAAATAATAAAAAAAAAAAACATCCAGAAATTAAACTTTGAAATATGTTTTATCAAAAAAAGATTTTTATTGACAGAATAACTTTGCTGTGTTATTAGATTTTATAAAAAAGAATCAAAACATTTTGATTTAATGTTTAGAAAGATTTGATAGATTTTTTCATTTTTTGAATTCTCTTTGAGAGAAGAAAGCTCTGAAAGTGAAGAGAAGGTGATCCGTAAATCACTATTTAAAAAGAATGCAATTTGCTAAAGTCAATCCAAAAAAGAGAAATGAAAAAGAAAATTGGGAAATATAGAAAATGCATAAGAAATTCTGTTTTTCAAAGATTAATTTCCGGACTGTTTTTTTTTTCTCCAAATATTCCATTTAGAAAATGCATTTGTTTGCAACAATAGAACAAAATTCACTCCATAACTATTACACAGAAAAACATGATTTAACAGCAACCTTTGCAGAATGAATAAGTCTTAATAATACGCCCTGCTTTAGTGTATTAAAAATGGTAAAAGGATGCAGTGAAGAAAGCAATTTTGAAGGGAAATTAGGAGCAATTTAAAGAGTAGCGATAAAAAAAAAGAAAAACGATATGTTAAGTTTTCATACAGTCACAGGAAAGTGAGATTCAATCCTCGTTCGTGAATTTTCTCACTCAGTTTGGCAGAGGCTGGAGTTTGCAGGTGCAGCCTGTTTATTATTAGCCTCCCATATGCTGTAAGACTTGATCTACACTCACAAACACAGACTCACACAGAGTTTTGGATTACACACATTTATATGCACATCCACATACCACCGTATGGACAATCTTATTTATCACTTTTAGATTCAACATAACCCAAACATAAATTTCCAATGATCTGACTAAAGGAATTACATTTTTTGGGGGATTTTAAATTTTTTTTTTCCCAGAGTCAGACAGAGACTGAACTGTTAGAGAACTCCTTTTGTAACGTCTGAGGGGAGAGATAAATAAAAGAGTGAAAAAAATTCAAATTTGATACCCCTATTCGGGACGCTTTTGTTTGGCTGTCCCCAAGTAAAAAGTAAAATGATTGCCTAACCATTCTAGAAAGTATTTGAAAGTATTTCACATATACAGTAAAATAGGATCTTATTTGAAAAGATGTGGTTATCAATCTAAAAGTCAGCATATTCAGAGAAACTCATTGCTTATTCTCAGCGACTTACATGGAAGAGGAAAAACATTTTGCTTTAAAATCTAAGTTTATTCCACAGTGTGATACCTTTTGACTTCACTCTGTTTGCCTTTTCTTCTTCTTATGAGTTCTGAGCTTTTTTTGTCACAAGAGCTTAAAAGCATGCAGCGCTTGTAAAACTCAAATCTTAAATCTTCCTGTTTTTGTGACAGTTAACCCATGCAGTATAACAAAATAATGCATAAAGATTTAAAACCTTTTTTTTATATAAATGATGCACACTTTATAGAAACGACCAGAAGCTCCAACAACAGGATTATAGCGGGTTGGTAAATATAAAGTCACAGGCATCAATCACCAGTCCGTTTTAATTACATCGTCATGCAGCAGAAACATGCTGTCAGGTTTGCTGAAGGGTTCTAACAAATCTGCTCTAATTGAAGGCAAAAGAATAAAAGCCGTCTAAATGTTTTCTGATGTAATCTGATTTTGACACTAGTCTCTATTTCCACCTCCTGCTCTGCCTTGGTTCAGCTAGGAGCTGTGACAGTGGGAAATACCACAACGTCAGTCGATTTCTTACAGCCTCTGTTAATGTCAGTCACTACAATCTTTCTTGACAGCTTTAAACCAACACTTCTTCAGCGGCATCACCTTCTGTACCATGAAATAAATAGAAAAACGATTATGTATTAATGTAATAAAAGATGGTTTGGAAAGCCATGATTTAAATAATGTAGTGGTCATGATATATATTTAAAATATAAATGTCATCAGACTCAGTCCCAGTACTGTTCTAATTCACAAGAACACTGAGATTGAACAAAATGCCGCTTGAACAAAAGCAATTTCTAGTGCAGCGCTCACAGAGCTCAGAGTAGTAAAAGTTCTCTTTTCTGTTGCTGTTACTCTGTAAAAGTACATTTTAACAACATTTAAGGCGATAACATTATTCTATATTGCCCATTTACTGGTTTAGTGCGTAATTTAAAAAAAAGTTCAGATGCTGAGAGGACTGTGGCAACCAGCGAGCTCTGATGCTAACTGCAGCAAGGGCTAACGTCAGCCCGTCTGCAGCAGCCGTCCCTCGGCATAGCCGTGTGGAAAGTACTGCTGGCTCTGATGGCGATTTGTTGTTTCATTTGGCGAAACGTTTATTTGTGTTTATTCGACTGTGTTAATCATTATTTCCCCTCTAAATGAAAAAAAGTAATAATTTATTATTATTTAGAGACTATTAATATCAGGAGGTGAAATGCTGCTCCAGACTTGCTTTGAATGTTGATGTCATGAGTACGTTTCTGTTCCACTTGACACAGCTTTGCTTTGCGTGCTCCCGTTCTCACCAAGTCCATACTTCCTGTGTTCTTCTTAATAACATAATCGGTGAGAACATGAGTCCATACTCACGTTCTTGTGAATTGAGAATCTTCTAATCACATTCTAACCTATGCAGATGCTCTGTCTGCGCTGATGAAGATTTACTGTCATGATTTCACATGACTTTACCCAGCAGAAAGCTTGATTTTCTAGTTTTTACACCATCAAATTGACTGAGTCCCCGGAAGTTTTGAGCTTTCATCCTCAGTTGGTCAGGTGATCCATAAGTGTGGCAAATAAACTTCAGCCATGGTAGCAAAAGCCATATAATACAACTTAATTTATCCTTATACAGATGCACTGTACAAAACACAGAAACATTAAGTACCATGATTATTTCACATTTTAATTCCCTCATGTTTAGAGCTCAGTAAAGCGTTTTCATGGCAACAGGGGAAACAGTGCTACAGCAGCTTAGGTTTCCCTTTTGGTTCCGCTTTTAATACCAGAGGAAATATCTGTCTTTATTAAGCTACTTCGCCATCTCGTTACTCCTCAATGCTTTGCATAAAAACAGCCTGCAGTGAAAGGAAAGGCATCACAGAATTAAAGCATGACTCCTTCTCAGTTTTTTTACTCCAGTATTTTAACATTAATACAGTAGTCCTTCCCAGTCGTTTTCTCCTGGATGTATGCTCACTTATTTTAACTGCAAACTCATATATATCTCTCTAAATTTTCCTGAAACCTCTGATCATGGCCAATGATCACCAAACTAGTTTGATCCCCTTCTGTGTAATTCCTTTATTTGTTATTTTGTAATGTTCAAACATCATTAAGAGCACATCACAGCGCAGTCTTAACAAGGAATAAACTTTGATTCAGTTTCTCAGAAACACATGTGAGGAATATGAATGCATATCATGATTATTAGGACACATTTTAATCATCACACTTCTGTTTTGTGTTTAGTGGATCAAATAATTTTGCTTTCGAAACAGACACCATCCATCACAGCAACGCTGATTGATTCTGTCCTTACCTGTCAATGTCTCCCTGCATCTCTTTGCTTCCTCTTTGCGTGTTCTCTCGGGGTGAAGCCACATCTGAGGATCGACCTGTATTCCTAGCATACAGGTGGAGGCCACTGTCGGTTAGGTATCTGAGAACGGAAAAAGAAGTTAAAAACTGAAAATGTATATCTAAAACAATTGCTTTTGTCTTTCATACATTAATTTTTTTATTTGATTTTAATTTGTTTTTCTCCAATAAACACAGCATCAAACTGCAGTTTCAACTTTAAAATGTACAGGAAACCTCAATAATAATTCAGTAAATGTAAATTTAACGCCCATCAACTACGCAGAGGCATAATTCTACCTGGATATTAATCACTATTCTGTTCAAAATTGGATTAAGTAATTTGTAAAATGTGTAAAATTGCTCAGATTTCTCCAGCTTATATTTAATGTTTGGTAACTTTTAAGCATATGGTAGAAATATGTGAGTTTGTACTGATATGGAAGTGAGGAAGAGGTTTTTACATCATTCGTTACCATAGTAATTAATGAAGGTCACCAGCCAGAGAGGCATTTTGATGCTTTTGACGAAGCTTCTCTCCTTTCTTATTGAGGTAATCTATTATTTTATTAAGAGCCAACAGTCTGCGTAAATGCATTATCTAACTCTTCCTATTCAAGGCAAGAAAAGCCAAAGACAGCCTTGGTGGATGACAGCAGCCTATTTGTCCTGATGTAGAGAGAGAAGAATGAGGCCTTGGTTTGCTGCGTGAAAAGCCAGCGAAACATTCATTTCTGAGCACTTTTGAACAAACTCTGAATGGAAATGACTCATGTCACTCGTCAAATAGACCTTGGAAGTAGTTTAAGAGGAAGTAGAAGGATCTATAATGAGAAAAGTAATGATGTATTTCAGAAAGTACTTCTTTAAAATCAACATTTTAGCTCTTATATGATGAATTTCAGAAAATAATTCTTTAAAACCAACATTTTTAGCTCTTATATGATGAATTTCAGAAAGTACTTCTTTAAAACCAACATTTTTAGCTCTTATCAGACATGTTCACAAGTCATTTTTTGCAAGTCCAAGTCAAGTCTCAAGTCTTGAGAGCTCAAGTCCAAGTCAAGTCTCAAGTCTTGAGAAGGCCTGTCGCAATAATCAATTAATCGCACAAAAAATTCTAATCACTTGATTCATTTAAAAAAGTGCAATAATTTTCGTGCTTGCTTGTTTCTCCTTGTGTTTTCATCTCCGTCACTGAGGCGGTATAGCTTAAAGGTCGCTATTATATCTATGGAATTATCATTATCTTGAACTGCTAAATGAAAAATACAATTAAAAAAAGCACACGCAAAATTTTTTTCCAGATAAATTTTGCATTTTCTTACAGTATTTCCTGACATTTGTGGTTACAACTTTTTCTAGTTTTAGCAGTAAATGTCTGCTCTTTTATTGAAAATGAGGACTGTGGGAAAAAAAACAATCACAATCCTGCCGTCCACGTACTGTTGCGTCAGTGTGTTGCACAGGGAAAAATATGATTTATGGTTTTCTTTCATTTAAATGTTAGTTTTATGCTTTGCATGTTTGGAGAGGAAGATATGATTTGTTTTTCTTTGTATTTTCTTCTTGAGCTTTGCATGTTTTGATGTTTCTTTTTTATACGATTGTTTTCCTTTATTTTAGACTTTTGAATTTTTCCTGCATGTTGGGTTGCTTGTTTTGGTTTGTTTTTCCCTTGTGACAATCCATGCGCACTGGACTGAAGTAGTTGTCTGAGGAGGCGGAGTGCATTAATTACGCTGCGTAATTGCTGCGCTCAGGTGTGAGCAAGGGCTGATTAAAGCCGACATAAAAGGAGTCTGAAGGAAAGGAGAAGGAGAACGGAATCTGCAGGTGAAAGAGACGGACGCGCTGCCAGGGGAGATGCAGGTGGGATCCGTGCGCCAGGAGGGCGCACTGATGGCCCAGTAAGAAGTATTAGGGCAGAGGAGGAACCTCGCCTGTAAGTAGCGCTCCCCCTCGCTTAAAGCATAAACAGGAATATATATTCCGACGGGGTTTTGGCGCGTGGATGCTGGCGTTCTCCTTGCTTCTCTTTTTAGCTGGATCGGTCTGGTAAGGGGTTTGGCACGCCAGGGAGTGGAACAGTGCTGGAGCGCCCTAGAGTCTGTGGATCAGCCAGTGGGTGCTCCAGGCCGATCACTCGCACCAGAAGCAGCATAACAAGCGGAGCCAAACTTCCAGCCTCTGATTTTTAAGGAAAACTCTTGAATTTTAGGTTTTATCAGGAAAAGAAAATGACTGTTTTATTATGCCACTTTTGCTGTGGCTTTTTGTATAAATAAAACGCTTGAACTTGAGTGCTTCACGGTTTGGGTCTTTGAGTTTTCTTCTGTGTGCGGGTAAGGCGAGCGGCGATCAGTCAAGTTAGTAAAACAAAAAACACTTGAATAAGTGTTTTTACACTGGAATAAAATATTGTTCACAAGTCGGAAATCACGAGTCTCAGTCGAGTCTGAAGTCCTTTAAATGCAAGTCTAAGTCGAGTCTGAAGTAATTAAATATGCGACTTAAGTGCGACTCGAGTACGAGTCACAAACTCGAGTCCCCATCTCTGGCTCTTATATGATGAATTTCAGAAAGTACTTCTTTAAAACCAACATTTTTAGCTCTTAAATGATGAATTTCTGAAAATACTTCTTTAAAAACCAACATTTTTAGCTCTAAAATGCGTAGCTAACAGCGTTCCGAGTCTACAGATTGAAAGGTTTCTTCCCTGTTGTTTAAAAAACTGTTCATGCTTTGCCAAACGGGTTAAAAATAATTCTGAACATAAACTTTCTTAAAAAAAAAAAAAAAAAAAAAAAAAAGATAAAGGCAAAAACCATATGATCAGACTGTATTCAAACCTTGTAATTTTTGTCCTGTTTTTCTCCTGAAAGAGAAGATCTCTCCTACGGTCTCAGTTCTTTTGAGGTCCTTGATAAGCTTTGTTTAATGGCCGTCCTGTATTGAAGTCCGTACATCATTGAAATCTGATCAGACTTTCAGATTTTGCCCAAGAAAGGTCTTTCTACAGCATGATGCTCCGACCACCAGATCCCTTAATTTAGGGAGCACAGTATCAGTTTTTGAAGTTTTGTCACAGATTCCCAATTGGATTTTGTTCCCTTTTTCTTCTCCATTTGAGGAAAAGCAAACTCATAGCATCAGGCTAACACATCTATGGCAAAAGATCTCAGGAGACCAGTTGTAGCCTGGAAGGGGCTTCCAAAAGATCATAGCAGCATGAGTTTTATCGAAATGAGCCGGACTTATGGAAGAGTATCCATGGGACAGATGTGCCCAAGTAGAGATGTAGGACCATTGATTTTAAGCTTACGCTATTATGAGTATATTTAGTTTTTCTCATTATTCTTTAGTGTTAAAACTTGGTGAGTGATTGACAGCATCCTAAAACAAGTGGAAAACATTGGTACCAATCCAACATGGCGGATATGAAGATAACTAGCTACCTAGCATTAATATCTGAAATGTTTAAATTTAATGGTTAGTCTTTGTTTAAAGGTTAATAAAATGTTTTAATAAAGTACTTTTTATAAAAGGGGCTTTTATGTAAATTGAGTTTTTTCGTATCAACGTTACAAACCTGGAGGGGTCAGAGTGCCCGCTGTAACGGCCTGTGTTGGCGGTAGCGCCCGCTGTGCTGGATCTGGGCGCAGAATACCCGCTTGGCATTGAGGGGGCTTCTCCTGCCTGGAGACGTGGGGTCTGGGTTTGGCCAAGGCGCCAGGCCATGGGGGAGGAACGAGCAGCAAGGGCGGGGAGACTCCGCCCGTTCACCTCAGTCGTCACCGTCGTGTCAAAGGTTGTTTCCAATGTACTGCAAAGAGATGATGATACGAATAAAACAATACATAAACTTATGACAAATTTCAAAGGAATTAACATGATTAAAGATATTTATTTTAAAAATTACATTTAATTGTGCTTAAAAAAATACTTGTTTTATAGTAAGACATGTACAGCTGATATAAATACTAAGAAAAAAAGGATAAAAATGAAGAATTTCATATATTCAATGTGATTATTACACTCAGTAGAGCTGATAATTTGTTTAAAAAATTATATATATTTTTTTATTGCATCATTTCTCTACACAGGATCCAAAAACCCCCCCGAAATGTATCTATTATAAACACTGAGGCAACCTTTTCCTATGTCCATGAGTCTCTACATAGAAAGTCAAGCCTGTCAGTTGTGGTACCTTGCTGGAGCTCACTCTGCTGGGAAAAAGAGTGAACTACATGCTGTCACACAAAAAGACCCGATACGAACCCATACAGCTGCACTAATTTGCATTTTTATGAAAAAAACCCTCCTATTTTCTAATCCAGTCACAAACATTGATTCAAACTGCAGCCTGTTGGACTACACAAAAGATGTGCTTGGAGAAACAGAAAAGGTTTGGGGCTCAGATTGGGATTTTGGATCTTTCTCTTTGAAAAACCACCTATAGGAGAACTAAGTGGCTGCAAACTAACAACATTCTTTCATAGTGACTTTGCATTTGTACATTTATTGTCATTTCTTGAGTAGCGTTTGAGGAGAAAACATTTTAGAAGCAGATTTATCTTCATGAGTGGGAGGAGAAGCCTTTTGAATGCCTGTTTCTGCAGACTGGTCATCATTATGTGGCAAAACGAATGCTATCCTAAAGCAATGTCTCACAGTTTGCAGATAGAGGTGTGAGAACTGCTCTGTGTGTGAGAGTGTGTGTGGAAAGGACAGGACGCTGCACCCCACACTCTAAAGCCAGGTGCCAACATGAGAAGGGCAGTAATGCCAGCCATGTTCATGACTAATCTCTATCAACACCTTCTGAGACTGATGACCCAGGCAAAACCTTGATATTGTGTCTAACAATCAATTTGAGGTGACTGCAGAGTTCTAGCAATCAATTTGCCAGTTTACTGTTGAGAATGAAGCATCTAAATCAGTAGCAACCAAGAGAAAGATCAGAATGATAAATTAGATGAGGAAAAGCACAAAAAGACAGGAGTTTTGTTGGAAATGTGGGAAAATTACTATATCTGTCTAAGCAATGTGAAATAGAGGAGATAAAGAGCAGACAGGAGCAGTTTTGGTGCAAAGGGACTCCATAGAGCTCATATCTATGTAATAATTATCAGTAGCTATGGCGTTATACTGACAAAATCAGTTTTTAGGCAATCTATGTTACTTTTTTGTCTGTTTTAGTCACTTGATAGAACCAGGCATTAGTGCTTGCTGACATAGCCATTGTTTTTAATTACAAAGATGGTCAAACATTTTTGTTCCAGTAAATTCTGGAGATGCCAACACATATTCAAAATGTTTGTTTAAGCCAATCACGTGCAACCAAATGGGCAGAAAAGGGACATTTTTAACATGGGTGGGAAAAATCTATAATAACCAACTGCCAGACCAACCTATAGGGGATCTACAAGAAATGGATGTTAGGTAGTATAGTATAAGCAGGTTAGGTAGTATAAGCAGAAAGCACAATGGCGTAACTAAACTGCTTATGTTCATTTGTTGGAAAAGATGGATTATTTGCAACTGAGAACAAGAACTGACGAAGTTCTGCTATGGTTTTGTTTTTGCCTGCCTCCATTTGGGATGCAAATGCTTCATGCATGTCCACTGGATCCCTTCCAGGCCCAGTTAGATGGGTTCAGGTAGGTAACATAGTTTCCTCCACTCAAATGAGTTTATTCTGCTGAAAAACGTTATAAGTTAAAACAACAATTCTAATATTGAAAGTATAGAAATACTACCATCATGCGGAAGGTGGGCCAGTTGGTTGCAATAGAGATTCAATAAAATCAAGAGGTCATTGGTCTCATTTGACAAGTGCTGCTTTCTCCCTAAGGTTTGTTTGTTCTCCCAAAATCTAACAGATGTCTCTACCTCTTCAATGTCTTATGATTGGACATTGAAATATTTCTGTATGAATGAAAATTATTTAAACTTTCATCAAATTACTGATAAATATTGGTATAGAACTTTAACTCTCTCCAAATAAAAAAACATATTTTCCAGGGAGCTGCTACCTCGCTGCCTATCTCGGTTTCAGTGAAGTAGTAGGTATAACACAGAGCTATAAGTAAAAAGATAAACTCAGGGGGGATTATTTTGTGCTTTGCAATGAGCTCAGTTGGAGAAGAACTCCTCTCGACAGCAGGGGTGCAGCTTATTCCTGAGCAATGCTAAATATAAGTACACTGTCTCCTACTGCTGCTAATGAGCTCCCAATTGAACAGCCGGGTCTCGGACAGGTTAATTCAATTCGTATGCATTGTTTGAGCAAATTTCTAGTTAAATATTAGCCACGGTGGCACCTCTAAACTCCAACATTAGGAATAGTCTTTAGTGCAATGCGCTGCTCTGCAGAGCATATGAACACATCAGGTTAAATGGTCAGCTTTTGCAAGAGGCCAAAAAGTCTAGTTCCCATATATGCACCCATGCAGCTGTCAGAACAGTCGAGTCACATTCCATCTTCCATTACAGGCTGAAAACCCATCTTCTCCAGAGGTGGTTCTGATTACCTTCATCACATTGAATCATACCACTTTACCTCTCAGAATGCCAATTCTGACAAGAACATTGTGAAGTGTTGAAAAGCGCCTCTGGCTCTGACCCATTATTACCACCAAGCACGTGTAATTCGATCGTTTCAAGCTAACCTGCATTTCAGGGATACAGTTATTGGACGTCGTTTTGTGTGGAAGGCAATATTCAGATGAATAAATTTCATACGTGTATTCACAGTGGACAGACAGCCATCTCTTCAATTTAAAATATATACCTGCCTCACACAAATGTAAATACAAAATAAACAAACCCACCCAAGTAAAGCTAATATGCTCAGAATATCATGCAGCAGAACTACTGAAACACAGCTTCTTGTTCATCCATATTTTTTATTGTCTGCATCACTTATTGTAATAAAGCTACACTCCCAGTTAAAAAAAAAATGCTACACCTCAGTTTTTATCCTTTGAAATCTATCTAAAAGTGTAGAATATGAAAAGATGTCTATTGAAAAAAATAAACAACAGTCTATCCAAAGAATATATCTACTTATCTACAGCACTACAGCTTATAGGCAAACCACTTTATCCATGTGTGCCTTATATTCTAATCACCATACTATGGCCTCTATAACCAGTCCTGTTCATAACTTCTATAGAGAGGATTTCTAGGTGCAGCCAAAGGGCTGGAGGGAGTCTGGTTTGGGGAACTGTTCGTCCTGCTGCTTCCCTTGTGCTAAGACAGACAGCATTAGCTGGTGTAGTTCATGGTAGGATGAAGATCAGCTCCTTCAAGTCTGACGCCATGGTTCTAGACTGTAAAACGGTGGCTTTTCTCCTTAAGGTTTGAAAAGAGTTCCTGCTTCAAGTGGAGGAGTTCAGGTATCTTGGGATCCTGTTAACCAGTGAGGGGAGAATGGAGCAGGAAATCGACAGATGGATTGGAGTGGCTGCTGCTATTGTGCAGAGGCTTCACCGGTCATTTCAGGTGAATAGAGAGCTCAACCAAAAGACAAAGCTCTCAGATTACCAGTCAAGATCCACACATGGCTGAAATTTGCCTCCTCTGCAAGGTGGTTGGGAATTCCCTAAGAGATACGGTGAGGAATTTTGTGATCTAGGAGAGGCTAAAAGCAGAGTCGCTTCTCCTCGACACCAACATGGAGGAGGCCCAGGGGCTGACCCGAGACCCAATGGGGGGACTATACCTCTTGGTTTCCCTCAGAGGAGAGCTGGGGTAGATATCTTGTGAGAGAAAAGTCTGGAGTTTCTGCAGGGACTGTTGGCCCTGTAACTTGGTCCCAGAAAACAAGTACAAATAGATCTCCTACTACATGGCTTATAACCTCATCTTTCTTTACAGCAACTCTCAAAATGTTTGCTTCTTTTAAAGGTTGGAAGCAAACCAATTTACATCTTAACATTTGTACAGAAATCCCCTGCAAAACGTTGACTTCGTCAACTCGCAAAACAAATAACTAGTGCAATTTAACCTATATTTGAAATCTTATAAGATCAGACCCTTAATGTAATGTGAATTCAAAACTAACTACATCCTAAATAATCTTTGAGAAAGATTTTTTAGACTTAACCGCCAGAAATCCTTAACTAAAAATGACTTCATGTCTGCCACTTGCCCTTTCCATGTAGTTCATACAACCTCGACTGGAGTGCTTTAACTAATGTGTATCCTTCAATATAGTGAGCCTCTGAGGAATGCACAAACTTTTTAAAAGATGAACAGCTCTGAGAAACTGCAATTTGAAACAGATATACAATTTGAGTCCTCCAAGATTGATCACATTTAAAGGAGCTTTAGCTATGACGGGATGGAGACTAAACACGAGTGTTTCAGGCATTGCGTTTCTAACTTCCTCCGGAAGACACTCTTCAAATTTTATCTCCATTTTGTCCACAAGGTGGCGCCAATTCTCAACCTATCTGCTTGGTGTCAGATACAAAACCGTCTATTGTGAACACCGTTTCTCGCCAGGCAGTTTATTGTGTGACATCAACTAAGTGTATGCGGTCGTAAACATGGATCTTTGCATGGATGTCAGTTTTAAACCTGCCTCGCTTGTGCCTTTAGTATGCGACGACCACCAAAGAGTGCAGAATGCCCATGCATATAAAGCCCTTAAATCAGCTATCTCTTTGGCATAGTATTCTCTGCATTTAGACCTTGGTAAATTAAAAGGGATTCTCTTATTCGTAGAGTCAACAATAAAATCATCGAGTTTTGTAGTTCAGTATCAGTTTGATGGCTAAATATGACATCGGGTGCAAATAAAACCTAGGTCAAAGAGTTGGGATTGTAGAATGCAGAACAGAACCATGTTCTATTAAACAGCAACAGATATAAAATAACATCGGAAAAAAAGAAGTAACTCATGGCTAATTATTTTGACCTGCCACTCAGAATACTCTGAGGATGACTTTGTTTCTTTCATAGAAATTAGTAGAAAACCTGCTTCAATTCTTCTTAGTGATGACATTTAGAAAACTGAGACAATGAAGGAGGCTTTTACTAACAACACTTGGTGTCAGCATGGTCATATAGCAGTGAGCAGACATTTCTGCATCCCACATATTGAACTGTTTAGCCGCAAGGCAACAGACCTTCGGTGCAGGAGGATTTCATATGCCATATTTTTGCTGTTGCTCTGCTAACCAAGCAGCCATGTGTGAGGTCTTCACCTTATTGATGTGATATGCCAGAGTCTAATGCTGGCGCTTTCTTCTGTTTTGCTATTGCATCTGTTGTATGCTCTTGGAACTCTAAAAGTATTAGCGGACCATTATAGGATGAACCCTATTTCGGCCAATAGTGCTGCTAGATATACGCAGTAGCATATGCAGCACTAAACAAGATGTAAATATATGGATGGACCATTTCATGGGCAGATGAATGGATGGATAAAGGAATTTTCCTAAGATCAATACATTTGTAAACTCAATGAGATCTACTTGGTTAAATAAAGGTTATATTTGCAGATAGATGGATAAATGAAACAATGAAACAATGGAGAAAATGTTGACATAGTCATCAGTCATTTATGTCTTTTTTGTCTAGTGTCTTTAATCAAAACTAAGAAGACTACACTCCTTGCAGCTGGTTTACTGGGATATGAAATGGTATTAAGGGAAAATACTGGACAAGGGATAATGACAAAGGTTCATTACCCAAACCATCATGCTGATGACAGCACTCTTTTATCCAGAGCAGAGATTATCATGGCCTGACCAGCCTCTTCACAGGGCCAAATTGGCATGCAGAGTCTGAAGCTCACTTTACGCTGAGCAAATAAACATGTCCAAGATAGGGGTGCACTGGATTACTTTTTAAATTAAATCTCGGATCATGGAGGCTCAAACTGCTAATAATAAGTTCTGATGATGTGTGCATCAAATACTTCATACTAACTGTCCCGGTGCCATCAATGCTCATAAATGAGAAGTCTCTCCCCCTCATACACCTCACACTCCAATCCTCATGTCTTTTGAAACAGTGGTAATACAATGGCGCTATATTGATCTTTCCCTGGCCGAGACTCCGAGTGGAAAGCAAACACAGATTCATGCACACACACAGCCACAGACTACCATCTGTCATGGCTGTCGGCAGCCTGGCCACCATCTTCCTCTCTAAATGGGGCAAAACACATAAAATAATAGACTGAGGGAGGAGAGGAGCGAGACGGGGGAGTGAACCATTGCTCCAGGAGCTGACAAATACTGATGGTTATCATTTTCTATTCACCTTGTGTTCTTAGATTCTCCATTGGGCCAATGGCTCACAGGTTTCTAGAGAGCTAGTTAGATTATATCAGGTGTTGAGAGGCAGAGTATCAAGTGGCGAGAAAGGAGAATCCAAGTTTTATCAAACATGAAGCCCAAAGACATGGATGCCTGTTGGAACTAAGATAGAAATCACAGAGTGATGAAAAGATAGCCTTTTGTTTTCTTTTTGCCCAAGTGCAACTTGAAAATCTCTTGTCGGTCATGACTGAAGACAAGCCTGATGTTATAACGACCTAAACATCTATTTTGTCATTAAGGACCTATATTAGTTCCTTTGTTTGATTATCTCTGATACAAATGATCACTTCCTTCATTTTGAGGCAGTTTTCTCTGAAACTTTCCATTTACAAAAAGATCAATGTGTTTAAGTAGCCAGCTGCAGCTACTAGATGCATTTGTTAAAAAATCCTAAAAACTCAGCTTTTAACCAAAGGAGAGGTGTGTAAATATCACAGTACAGAGAAACATTTAGCAGCAGTTATTAGTCGCTGTTTACAAATCTCTCCCGAGTCAAGAAATGTTTATTTACGAAAGAATCTAAAATATGAATAAAGGAAGTTAGAGTTAAATCTTGGTGAGGGTATAGTAAAGGTACAGTAGAGGTACAGTAGAGTTAAGGATTCACTTAAAGAGGTAAATACTAGCTCAGATTGCTTGTAGAGGCAGATTGTCACCCAGTTCTTCAAAATTTTACTTTGATGGAACTTCATTTAGGCAATGCCATCTGTCTGCCTACCTGTGGCTGATCTGTGTCCCCCGCAGACTGGACATGGTCTCCTCCAGGTTCTGCCGCAGGTCAGCGATGTTCTTTACCGTCCTCATACGCCTCGTCTCAGGATCCTCTCCTGCTGAGACATGATTTTTGTTTGATTTACTCAGATGCTTAGATCAGCACCCACACACTCAAAGATACAGCTCTCCTTCGTATTCTAGGATGGCAATACGAACGGCGGTGATGACGTTTTGTCACCACTCATCTCAGAAGGGGGGAGTGACCAATTGCTGTGGCAGCAAGTCTCTTGCTGACAGCTCTGAATCTATATGGTAAACATCCTGTCAGGATGCACTACCTGCACTTTAACTTTTTCTATTTTATCTTTGGGTTTCCCTCCAGGCTGAAGCAGAAATGTCACCATAAATCTGTCAATCAGTTCAGGACACTCTGGATTGTAAAGGTAACCTCTCCCAGAGTCTCAATGTTGAGGGTTGGGAAACCCTCTGACTTCCCAACTAAAACTGCACATCACATTGCCCAGTTTGCACTAATCTACATAAAAACCACTTGTTGAACAGAGTTATTAGAAGCGTTCTGACGGAGAGATGCTAATAACACCCTTTAGGCCATATTTCAGAACAGAAAGCAGAGGGGGCACACCAAAATATCTGCTTGTCTCATCCAATTAAGCCTCCCTGTTAACTTGTTAAGATAGACTGTGTCTGCAGGCTGCTGAAACAGAACGGGTAATTAACAAGAGGGATGAGACACGGAGCGGATGGCAGTCACTCTGCTTTCGAGGTTAAATGTACTTCTAAGCTATAATGGCCTTATTGGTATCCTCCAAGCTGTACAAGCGATTTTAATATCCCTTCTTATGAATGAGAGTGTTGGCTAAACAGAGTTTTCTCTTTAGGTTCCCCCCTCCCCCACTTATTGCCCATTGTCAGTGGATCACTTTTCACTGGTTATGAAACCACTTGCAAATCTGGCTTTTTGGATTCACTTCCTGTTACTAAAATCAAAGGAGAGTCATGTGGCAGAGACAAAAAAGTGTCAGGTTCAATTAGACAATAGCCCCATTTACACTACCCTCTGAAAACTGATCCGTGCCGTGCTTGGATCAGTTAACCGTGCAAAGCTTGGTTCCTTATGAACGTTTACACACCATGCTAGCACAGTTCCTCGCCTCCTACTGACGATCTACGGTACTACTGCTCTCTAGAGGTAAACAAGCAAATCAACATGGAGGCGATCGTAACAATCAGGAAGTTTGCGGAGAGTCAGAGAGAAGAAGGCAGCCTTTTGTGAATTTACTTCAGAGAGACGGCTTTTGGGAATTAGATAAGACAAACGATAGTCTAATTAAGCAGAATCATTACTGGAAATTGTGTGGCAAGGTAGGGAAGCTAGTATTTTTATGAATGCACTGCAACAAAAACAACAACCATGGCAGATGATGATGCAGAGAGCAGTATTTATGTTTAACCATGTGAAAAGATTGAGTTTTTATCGTTGGAAAAGACCTCTAGATGCACACCGGTATTACCATCAATGTTTACTTCCGTAAACATAGAGCACACAGCAAAAAAAAAAAATCGGATTTCACAAAAAAATCGGAATTGAGCATCAAGGCCTGCAGTGTGAACGTAGCCAGAGTTGCAGTTTCATTGTGGTGACAGATTCAACCTTAAACCTCCATCCTACAGTTAAAGTGTTAGGAGGAGAATAAAGACACTCCTGTTTCATTTTTTGGTTCGTTTTTTCAAACCAAAAAAAAATATCAATCAAAATAGCTGTCCTTTTTTGTGGTGCTTTTATACTGAGGTTTGTTACATGTAGTGTATATCAGCTGGTTTCTAAAAGTTACAAGGCTCTTTAAAATTACTCTTACACTGATACAAAACAAATTACATGTATTTTTCGATAGTTAAGCACATTTAGATGCAAATATTTTTGAATACTTAGGTATTTTCAAAAGCGAGTACTTCGGTACTTTAACTTTAGATTTTTGACCCAGTAACTTTTACTTGTGGTTGAGTAAAATTTGACTATGAATATCAATACTTTTTCGCAAGTACTACAGTTGAGTACTTCATCCACCACTGTTGTTAGACCATCAACTCATGCAAATAGTGATGCAAAAGTGTGAGACAATTTTCCACATGACTGGTGGACTCGTTGTCAGCTACTGTATTTTCTAGACATGTCAAGATAGGCCTGTGGTCCATTTAGGTTGTGATAGGAAGAGAATGAGACCTTAAGGAAAAAACAGGGACGCTGAATTAAGCACAGCAACAGGAATACTTCTCTCATTTTCAGCTTTGAGCATCTGTTTGTCTTGAAACATGCCCAATCTTGTATGAGATAATTCTCTTTTTGCAGCACTCATAAAATGCCCGAATTCAGCTAAAAGAGGATAACAATTTACCCATCCTTTAAGGTAACACTCCTTAATCTGCAGTATATTCTTGAAAGAATCACATACCTAACCTGATATTGGTTTGCCCTGGGCTAAGCAGCCTTATCATTCAGTTATGATGCCTGTAGACTGTACAGATATCACAATAACTGAAACCCATGACCAAAACCACTGCAAGCCTCTACCAGGGCCTTTCAACACTTGCAGCTTCATTTAATTTTGACTGCTTACTTTGGGCACTTAAACTGATAAATATTCTGCGAGCTGTGTGGAGAACCTATCTGTCTTGGGTTTACTGCAGGGTTTACTTGCTTTCAAATCTGCAATCTTTCAAGCAACTTGGATAAATTAATGTCTTTCTTGCAATAGTGGCCCTTAAGATATGGACCTTATAATAACAATGCAGCACACGATCAATGTGAATAAATTGAGGAGGATAGAACTTTCTTTCCTATTCCACAAATTCAGTCATTCTGCCAAAACACTGAAAAAAACCCTCCAAGCTTTGAGGTATTCTCTGTGACAGCGCTTTGTTTGCTTGTCCGGATGCATTGATTTTAAAATTCCTGCCAGCTTAAAGGAAGAATACAAATTCTTTAAACAGCAAATAACTTAAATATGGGTGCCTTAAGGATTAGATATACAGCTACAATGCAGGCAATTAAAGGATTATTATGGTCTGTCATGACTGTACAGGACCTCAAGACATACAGCAGTCTCTAGTAAAGGATCAACTACCTTCAACCCAGACACTGACCTCAATTTTGCTCCAACAAAGTGCAGAGCCATTTTAAGTAATTGAGGTCATAGTTTATCTTTATTGTTCTCATCTCTGACTCCAAAGCTTATGTCTATTCTAAGGCTGCCTAACAAGAATCAGTGCATAAAAAGGCATATAATACAGAGTGGGCAGACTTTTGTGTCCTGAATTTAGTCCTTTTAGAATCAAACACAATAGAAGATTTAAAAAAATGTCCACTGGCACCACACCTGAAGCGGAACTACTCTTCCTTTGTCATTTCTCTGCTTCCTCATCCTTATGTCTATCCATCAACCCATCCCTGAACTCGCTGAGGCACCTCTGAGAAATATCCAATTACAATCCCATTACAAAGTGACACGAAGAGATCAGACCCAGGATTCTCCGCCATGAGTGGACACTTCATGCAGTATTGGAGAGCAGCCAAAGGCGTGCCTGTGCATTTATGAGCAATTATTTGCACAGCAGCAGGGGTCTCACCTGGATTATACGACAGCTGGATTGTCTAAATCTCTTCCTTAGGAAAATCTCTTAAAAAATGCACAGACTAGAGGATGCATGCTTAAGAAAGAGAAATATTTCTCCTAAATATCAGGCTTGTTGTGCTGCATTTCATCGGGACTGTTTGTTCCAGACCACGTTGCCTGAGTCCATTCCTGAAGAGCGACTACTCTGCAACTCTTAGCGGTAACGCTACCCCAATGCACTTAAACAAATGGTCAAATTTTCCCTCCAGCTTGTTGTTCAGCTCTGCAGAGGCTCGGTGGTGATACTTTCATTTGATTCAGGTGTGATGGAGTCTAAAAATGGAGATAAGTAGCTCTTAAGGCCTGGACTTGGACAACGCTGTTCCTAACAAACACACACACACACACACAAAAAAAACATGATTTAAAAAAAATTGTAGAATATTTTTGGGCGTTAAAAAGAAAAAAAAATCTGGGGAGTGTGGTGTGCATTTAAAGAATCCCATTCTGTGAATACCCTACTGAATTACTACCTTTCGAGATGTGTCTTTTGCACATCTTCATATCGATTTTTTTTTTACATCGTTTTCTGTGGAAAACAACTCAATGTTAGTCAGATATGATATTCAATCAATGAAAATCAGTACAGATCCTCTAATAGATTTATCTCTAGACTTTGACTGAGCCATTCTAACCAGAAACACTTGCTATCAATTAATGAAGTAATCTAGAGTTGTTTGATCTTATCGTCCGACTAACAATTAATTGATAAGCCTCCATTTTTCTTAAAGTTTTTTTCTTTTATCAAGAGGATCAGCTGTAAATGCTCATCAGTATCCAGTTATTCTGAATGATGCAGGCTAAGCTAGTGCAGTTGTGCACCCTAAATGAATGAACCGGCATGTTTAGGCGATCAGCTGTTTATTCAATCTATAAATGTCCCTGTAACGATTAACATCTGATTTTTTTTGTTTTTGAGTCCAAAAGCATTTTAAACCGATTGTGAAACTTTGTGCATGGAACCGTACCTGCAAATCCAATAAGACTAAAGAACGCAGGAGTTGTTTGATTAAAATCAATAAACAAAATAGTAATGAATATATAGCCTATATTCTTATCAATAATACCCAAAGTTGACATTCATATCCATAATTCGTGGATGTGTTGGCTTTGCTATGGCTTTAAAGGTCTTCAGCAAATGTTTTGCAAAATGGTTTATTTCTAATAGCATCATGAAGGCTTAAAAATAATCTATAATGACAAAAAAAAGAAATGTAATTTTTTTTTTCCATATCCTTTTGATTACCACGCTTGGTAATCCATGCATCTTTAAATTTGCATTTATCAGACATGGCATTACTTGATGACCAATCAAATATGATTGATAATTCAGCAAATCACTGAAGAGAAAACTGCACAGAGATTTCCTGTTATTCACAACTTTTCATGATTTAAATCATCCAAGGGAATCGTGACAAACACAT